GTACTGGTAGTTCGGAATAGGCACCCTAGTCCGAACTACCTAGTTCGAGCCCCGTGTAGCCTTGCTGCATGGGGTTCGAAGCAGCGGGGATTTAAAAATGGCGGCGCCCCGCTTATGCTAATGAAGCCCGGGAAATTCAAATCCCGGGCTTCATTAGCAAGTGCGGTATGCATACATTACCCAGCTAGTTCGAACTAGCGGGGTAGTGTAGACATACCCAGAGTGCTAGAGTCAAGAAGAGTCCGACAGTTCAGCGAGTGGTTCTGGGTTCATGTCATCGGTATCCCAGGTGATTAAAGTCCCCCATGAGAACCAGGGCCTGCGATCTGGAAGCTTCTCTCAGTTGTCCGAAGAAAGCCTCATCTACCTGATTCGGTGGCCTGTAGCAGACACCAACCACAACATCACTGCTGTTGTTTGCTCCTTTAAACTTAACCCATAGACTCTCAACAGGTTTTTCTCCCTCTTTATACTGGAGTTCAGAGCAATCATAGTGCTCTCTTACATATAGTGCAACTCTTCCTCCTTTTCTCCCCTGCCTGTTGTTCCTGAACAGTCTATACCCTTCCATGACAGCGCTCCAGTCATGCGAGCCATCCCACCAAGTCTCTGTTATCCCAATTAAATCATAGTTCTTGGACTGGGCCAGGGCCTCCAGTTCTTCCTGTTTGTTGCCCAGGCTTCTCGCATTAGCGTATAAACACCTCAGGTAACCAGTTGATCGCCCTATCTTCTCCATTCAAATCAGGGGTCCTCCTTTCTTGCTCATTCCTCTCTGCATTTCTTCCCGGTATCCGACTTTCCCACTCCCCTCATTTTACTTCGCCACACCGGACGGTGAGCACAGGAAACCGGAGACCAGGGGGCCATTTTTATGTGTGCAGGGGCGGCTTCATGAGCCACAGGGGAGGCTTTACGAGCTGCAATTTAAGGGGGGAAGAGCCGCATGTGGCTCACGAGCCGCGGGTTGGCCAGCCCTGCACTAACCTGTAACATTCTGAAAAGGGCACAGAGTGAGCGTTGCCGTTTAACCCTTTGCACGCTGGTATTTTTTAGGCTTCCAGCGTTATAAATGGGACCACATAAAATAGGTCAGAAGTGTGATAACATTTCCCATTTGCATTTGTTTCCCACATTAATGCTGGCAATTTATATGTGTAATATTTGTACAGTAGCAGGAACTATAACTCTTGTGCCCCCCCCCCCAAACAGAGTGAGCGTTGCCGTTTAACCCTTTGCACGCTGGTATTTTTTAGGCTTCCAGCGTTATAAATGGGACCACATAAAATAGGTCAGAAGTGTGATAACATTTCCCATTTGCATTTGTTTCCCACATTAATGCTGGCAATTTATATGTGTAATATTTGTACAGTAGCAGGAACTATAACTCTTGTGCCCCCCCCCCCAAAAAATCCTCCCACCCCCTCCACAGTGCAAACATCATACCTGGATGGTGCAAGGCATGGCATGGGTCAGTTAATACAAATATCAGAACTAGCTTAGGTTGAACATGCATATTGCATGCATAATCCTAGCATCATGCTCATACAAGCCTGTCACTTTTGCTAATGTAAGGCCCCATCTCCACTCCACTTGGAGGCCCAGCCTTCCTTCCATTCCCAGTGCAAGAGAAGCCTGTTGGCCTGCCACCTCTTGACACCTAAGCTTTGGTTCCAGCACCCCTTGGGCTAACTCAAATTCCCCTTCCGAGGGTTTTGTAGTCAGCACCGAAAGGCTGATCCACTATTTCACAGAAGCGTTTACAGGAAAGGCAATAATGTTTGCCTTACTATTCCGATTCACAGTCAGCATTGGGCAGATCGCGTGGCTAATTACTGCACATGCAGCCAGCGCTCACCACATGGATTTGACATCATCCCTGCCCTGTGTTTTGTCTGTCAAGTATCACTCTCAAGTTCTCAAACAGTAATATCAGAAAGCAACATTACCAGGGAAACCACATCAATCCCTCCTTCTAATAAAACGTAATAGAGGAAATGCTAAAAAGTGCAAATGTACTGCAGGATCATTTACTTATAACTTCATTTTTAAGAATATGCCCTTAAGGGCTTTCATTAGCCCTTTGATCAAATATAATGGAATTAGCTGTCAGTTACCAGTTCACAAAATGCATTTTTGGCCTGGTGCCTTTTACTTCTCTAACAGGATTGTGCATAGGGGTGTGGCTGCACATAACATTATATTGTTTGGAGAAGCTCTCGGGGGATATGGCTGACTGCCACTATAGTATGCATTAGCTTCTCAGCCCAGACAACATTATTGCCAAGCTGTGTTCACACCGTTAGTCTGCCGGTATGACTGATATCCAGACACACTTCACCTGGGGTGAGTATTTTAAGGTTCAACTTTTTATGCTTTGATAGTATCAGATAAGAAAAAAATGTTGCACTAATTTAAATTTTAAATAAATATGATTCAACTGGGCAGCTGCCCCTTTTGCATTTGGGATCTGTGACTATTCTGGTGAATGAGTTTCCTGGCATGAATGTCATCAGTGATATTTTTAAAGCAATTATTGGAAGACAGGAAGTGAATTTAACTTTAACATTAACTTTACACTGGTGACATCGGCAGAACACAACTGGTGTTGTAGAGTTACATTGAGTTAAGCCAGCTGAGGAACCGGTCCTAAGAATATCATTCATTCAATCAGGATCCAGAAGCCTACCAGATGACCTATGTGTCCAATCAAAACTGTGTGTATTTCAAAAGTCAATTACTAAGTGCTCTCAGAAGCTGTTTGCTTCAAAAATTCAAAAACCATTGGTTGAATGATCATGAAATGTTTTGAAATTCAGATTCCTTTTTTGGATAATCTGAACAAAGAGACATTTATTGCATAAACTACGTACATCCAAATTATTCACCTCCCTTGTACTGGGCCTCTTAACCCCCATTGATTGAAGGGAGTTGAGGGAGTTCAGCACCTTGACTGGATGGAGTTCAGTGTTTGTAAACTCCGTTGGAAAACTGTAGCTGTGAGTCTAAGATGGATGGGGGTGGGAATGTGTGTGTTTGCATGTGTTACTCATAGCATCCTTTACTAACAGGCGGTAGGCAGCTCTTCAAAGCATTTGTCCCAGAAGAGAGAGAGAATTCAAAGCAACTTTGCATCATTAAACTTCTGAGACTGATGATGGACCCAGCATGAGATCCAACACCCACTTGAAGTCTCAGAAACGTTTGGAGCACAGTGTATTTATCATTCTCCACTTGATTTTACATTCTAGCATTATCTGCTGGAAACACATACCTTGGGCAAGCCATTGACTGCCGAGTTGGACAAGGGAAGACAGAGCACAGATTACACAAGGCGGGGCCAATTGCTGTACCAGAACTGAACTTTTCTGCATTGCTACATCACCAAACACAAACACCATAACCTAAAGCCCAGGAATTGGAACTCCAAATCGGAGAAGTGCTCAGCTGGACAGGTTTTCTGTTCAAACACATCTGTGGCATCACAGAGTGAATAGCTGCAAGCTTTTTTGAGTGCAGGCACAATTTTCTGCCATGCTCCTGATGACTCATTACACATCACACATACATTCTTGTCTTACTGAGGGATGCAGTTTAAACACCCTTTTACCAAAGTTGCCGCTCCCACATTATGAAAGACGCTTCCCATCCCCACGTTCTTCAGACCGCTGTAAACCCTACACACATGTACTCCCTGTCTTCTGGCCCTTGGCCAATGCTGAGCACATACTGCTAACACATTTTGGTGCATATTTGGTTGAGTTTTTAACTGAGTTCATTTCAACTCTGTGCACATTCCTTTAGGGCCTGTCATGCCTGTTATAGCACATGATGTGACTTTTGGGTTAGATGACAGAACTTGAAAGCAGAAAACAAAGAACGGTCCCGAGACACATTCTGCTTTCAAGCAAACCTGGAATAACTGAGTGGCCCAAAGTGATCAGCAGAGCGAGAACTCAGTGGTTCCCTCTTTAACACTGCATGTGTGAAATGAGACAATATATAGAGGCTGCCCCATCCAGCATGATAGACCCTTCAACGCTCAACAGTGCAGTGCAGAGAAGACAGACTAGCTGCATTGCCTTTCAGTCACATTGCAATGTGGGCCAGTTTGGCTGAGTTCTATGGGTATGGCCACACTGCAATTAGATCTCCACATCCAGCTTGCGCCAACTGATGAGGCTCGAGGCTGTAAATTGCAGTGGAGATGTTTGGGCTCTGATCGGAGTCTGAGCTCTCGGACTCTGCCAGGCTCCAGTCGGAGCCCAAATGTCTATACCACAATTTTACAGCCTGCAGGCCAAGCCCTGCAAGTCTGAGTCAGCCAGCAGGGGCCAGTTAACAATCTTTAATTGCAGTGTAGACACAGGCTTAGGGTCCTCTCGTTTAGTCAAGATCTTGCTATCTCAGTACACGAGTTTTGCGGTCAAACCGCGTTTGTTTCTACTGAGGCTTTTTATTAAATTGTGTCAATTCCCGCTCCCTTGTTAATCTTCTGTGAGGTTTTCAGAAATATCTATTTTATGATGAATGAAACAAAATGTGCAGCCTAAGAGTCTGTGTTTCTAGGGATCCTGGTGCAATGACCTTTGAGCGGTGGAGGTTTGTTTGGTTTTTCAAAACTTCTGTGGGATGTGTCATTACATTTCTCTCTCTCTCTCTCTCTCTCTCTCTCTCTCTCTCTCTCTCTTTACAGGGCTGTTGATAAGCTCAGGCTGTGCTTTGTATCCCTTAGGATGGAACAGTCCAGAAATACAGCAGACATGTGGGAATGCCTCCAATCAATTTCAGCTAGGTAAGGCAGGCCTGGAAAGGAGAACACCTAGTGGTTTTTACACACATTCTCTCTAGTTAAGCACCTTACGTGAGTCCTGAATCAATGATACCAGTGTTGCTCACCTCAGCACCTATGCTGGCTTGGTAGGGTCAGCTATTGTGACTACTGTCAGCATCATGGGTCATGTCATACTTCTGCATTCTGCAGTTTGTGAGATTTACATATTCTTTTGCTTAAAAGTTGATTTGAGAGCTGCCACCTGGCTCTATCGCTAATGAGCTTTTTTGATGACTGGTGTATCTGATTGTGACTGTCAAGTAAAATGTGGACGAAAAGTTTATCTGGGGTACTTGTTATCAGGGCTGGTGTCCTATTGGGCTAAGTCAGCGATGGGCAGCCTAGACTGTGAATGGGCCGCATGAGTGGCCCTCCTTCATCCCAGTGGGCCACAAGATTGTCGTAACCAAGACAGTCTCCCAGAATTGGGTAGTTTTGCTCATTGTGTATCTGTACTACAGTGCGCTGACTAGACAACAGCAGTTCTTTGACTGGATGCAGAGGGAGCACATGGCGCTCACAGTCAATGTTGTGTGGAATCAGCATGCACCTCACATCACGTGCACTCGCATTATATGTGTGTCACTTTAGTAATAGCAGTAGGACAAAAAATACACAAATGGAAAGCAGCAAGATCTGGCAACCCTGTGCTTGGGCAACAATAAACAAAATGTCTCGTGGGCCACACATAGAACTCTTATAGAATACATGTGACCTGCGGGCTGCAGGTGGCCCACCACTGGCCTACGTGCTGTATAGACAGATAAGCAGACGTGATTCCTGCCACCTCTGCACCTCCTCTCTCCCCCCCGGCCACAGTGTAACAGGTACTTCTGTGATGTACCGGTAGATATGTATCTCTGTATCTTCAAAGTGCACAATATACAAACATTAAGTAGTGAGCCCCATAATACTTATTCTGCCCTTATTTCTTCTTTTAGTATTTTTATAGTAACTTGCTTGTGATCTGGCAGTGAATGAAGCCCTCTGTTTATCTGCAGGACAGGTACAGCATAGGCAGCAATTATGCAAATTTCTTTGCCATTGTTCCTAGAGCAGAGAAGCTTAGACTGCCCTGGAGGGACACCTCTCCTGGGGACAGAGGTCAGTTTCCATGGGCCATTCGCTATGGAGCCTGTTCATGGGGATTGTTGACAAGGAGAGCAATTAGCATCAACTGTGGAGGCTGTAATGGGGTGTGCATAGCCCACATTGAACCAAGTGGGGTTAAAACCTGTCCTGCCCCTCATCCAGACAGAGCATGTGCCAAATGATGGGGCAGTATAAAAGGGAGTAGCTCAGCTCATTCTAGGCTGGCCATCAGAGAAGAAGGACCTCCAGCAGGAGCTCCTGAGCCGTGCCAGCCACAGACCCAGACTGCAGGAGCCAGAGATCCAGGAGACTGCTGTGAGCTACCTGGCCTGGAGGAGACCCAGGGAGAGGCAGCTGCAGGGGGACCAGAGGACCCAGATCACATGGAGTGTTGCCCCACCAATGCTGGTAGGAAGTGACCCAGGGAGGGTGTCGGAGTGGTCTCTCCCACCCGGGTGAGCTCAGCGTGTTTTGCTCAGCATCCCCACTGAGGGAGTTGTAGAATGCTCTGCCACTCACAGGGTATGTCTACACTACCACCCTAGTTCGAACTAGGGTGGTAATGTAGTCAATCGAAGTTGCAAATGAAGCCCGGGATTTGAATTTCCCGGGCTTCATTTGCATGTTGCTGGGCGCCGCTCCCTACTGAGCGAGTTGTAGAATGCTCTGCCACTCACAGGGTATGTCTACACTACCACCCTAGTTCGAACTAGGGTGGTAATGTAGTCAATCGAAGTTGCAAATGAAGCCCGGGATTTGAATTTCCCGGGCTTCATTTGCATGTTGCTGGGCGCCGCCATTTTTAAATGTCCGCTAGTCCGGACTCCGTGCCCGCGGCTACACGCGGCACGAACTAGGTAGTTCGGAATAGGTTTCCTATTCCGAACTATCTGTACGCCTCATTCCTAATCCGAACTACCTAGTTCGTGCCGCGTGTAGCTGCGGGCACGTAGTCCGAACTAGCGGACATTTTAAAATGGCGGCGCCCGGCAACATGCAAATGAAGCCCAGGAAATTCAAATCCCGGGCTTCATTTGCAACTCTGGTTGACTACATTACCACCCTAGTTCGAACTAGGGTGGTAGTGTAGACATACCCACAGAGCCTTGGATTGGGACCTGGTGGAGTAGTGTGGGCCTAGGTCCCCCTACTGGTGCTGTTGCCCCAAACCTATTGATTCTGGCCATTAAGCTGTACTACCGTGAAATAAGGGCTACACCTTGATTGACTCTGGTCATTAGGCTGTACTTCCCTGAGATAAGGGCTAACCCGATCAACTCTGGTCTTTAGGCTATACTGCCCTGCAGTGGTGGCCCGTCAATACAGGTGACCTAGGTGGTTGCCTAGGGCACCAAGATAAACAGCCATTGAGGGCTTTGGAAGGGCACCAGTTGCTGGCAGCTCGGCTAGGGCTGCTCCTGCTGCCCTGAGATAAGGGCTAATCCCACGGTCACCAACCGGTAGATCGCAATCTACCGGTTGATCACAGGGGCTCTATAAGTTGATCGTTAGCTCCTACTGGACTGTGCGCCTGCACACAACTAATTTTGAATTGCGAAAGGCTTTCCAGCCAGCAGGAGAGTGGCGCAGCCTCCCCGGACTGAGCACAGGATAGCTGGGCTGGAGCAAAGAGGAGCGGCTGGCCCGGCAGCCGGGCCCATGATCACAGGGGCTCTATAAGTTGATCGTTAGCTCCTACTGGACTGTGCGCCTGCACACAACTAATTTTGAATTGGCACTGTTTGCAGAGCAGCTACTCATGGAGCAGCAACACAAGTGAATAGCTGTGGTGGGATCTGTTGGGTCGGGAGGGCTGAAATACCTGACCAGCTGGCTGCGCTGTGCTCCAGCTGATCAGACCACTTTCCCTCTGCTCCAGCCCACGTGGAACGTGGTGCCCCTGGGCTAGACACCATGGCCAGCTGACCGGGCAGCCGCTCCTCTTTGCTCCAGCCCAGCTATCCTGTGCTCAGTCCGGGGAGGCTGCGCCACTCTCCTGCTGGCTGGAAAGCCTTTCGTCTTTGCTCCAGCCCAGCTGGAGGGAGGCGCAGACTCTCCAGGCTGAGCACGGTGCAGCTGGGCCGGAGCAAAGCGGGG